AATTGGAGATATGTCTTTATCACAGAGAATATTTCTGCAATGATGAAACCTTTACGTTCAAGATGTTTAGATATTAGAATAGAGCTTCCAACCTATGATGAAGTAGATAGATTAATAACGAACATATGTCAACAAGAACATACTCATATAACCCAAAAAGATAAAGAAATGATATTAAATTCCAATAACGGTAATTTAAGAACAACATTAATCACTCTCTTTGTATATATTCAAACTAAACACTTATTTAAACCAACTTGGAAAATATCTTGTGAACTTATTGTCAAAACAATCGTTGTTACTCCAAATGTTGAAGTCATTCCAAAATTAATTCGTCCTAAATTATGTGAGTTTATTGAGAATGGTCTTTCACCATCATTAATATTAAAAGAAATTTTTACTTTATGTATGAATTCAAACATTGACCAATTGTATAAACTTGGTGTTGTTGAAATAATTCATAAATTTGTTTGTTATTCTTTTTCTCTTATTATTCAACCAATCATCTTCTAATTAAATTAGGACAAGTCATTAAAACAAGGACAAAACCCATGGATTCATGTAGAAAATGCAATCACAGCTTTGATGACTTTATTTTCTGCTCACAAATGACTTATTTGATTGTATCATTTATATTCACACCTTATTTATGTCTTTAATTATTTAATGAAAAAAAATTTAAACCAATTCTTCAATAATTGTCAATTCATAAGTAAAGAAAATTCTAAGTTATCTTAATAAACGAGCCTTTCGTTCAGCACGTTTTTGTTCCTCTTTCTTTTTCTTTTCTTCATCAGCAGCTTTCTTATCAGCATCTCTTTGAGTATTTAAAGATGCTTCAAATTGTTTTAATTCTTCATCAGCTTGTTTCCTCATTGCAGCTCTTTGAGCAGCTTTCTTAGCCATTTCTTCTTTCTTTTTCTCCTCTCTTTCTTTACGAGCTTTTTCTCTTTCAGCCTGTCTTTCAGCTTGTCTTCTTCTATAAGCAACCATAGGATCTTCTCCTTGTTTTGCTTCTGCTAATTCTTTTTCTTTTTCCTCAATTTCTGCAGCAGCAACTTTTCTTATTCTCTCAAGTTTCTTTTGTTGGTCAGCTTCTTCTTCTTCTCTCTTTTTTTTCTCTTCTTCTTCTTTTTGTTTTCTAAGTTGTTCTTGTAACCTTAAATTCTCTAATTCACGTTGTTTTCTTTGGTCTGCTCTTTCTTTTTCAATTCTTAAACGCTCTTCTTGCTTTTTATTTCTTCTTTCTTCAGCTTCTCTTCTTGCAGCCTCTCTAGCAGCTTGTATTTGTTTAAGTCTTTCTTGTCTTTCTCTTGCTCTTTTCATAACAGGATCTTCTTGTTCATGCTTTTTCTTAAACTCCTCATCTTTCTTCTTTTGTTCTTCCATTGCTTTTTTATCAGCCTCTTCTTCTTTCTTTTCTTCTTCCTCAGAGTCAACAACATGAGCATCTTTCTTTTCTTCTTCGCTATCGCTTTCTGAAACTGAAACTTTTTGATCCTTTTTAGCAATTGCTTCTTTTACTTTATTATCAACATCACTTCCTGTTAATTTTGCAAAGTCAGCATCTCTTTTTGCTCTTTCTTCCCTTTTTTTCTTTAACAAAGCCCCAACCTCATCATCGTCAGAATCACTATCTGAAAGTGAGACTTTCTTTGTTGTTGCTGTTGTTTTCTTAACATCTGTTTTTACATCATCGTCAGAATCACTGTCTGAAATAGCAAATTTCTTTGCTCTCTCTGCACGTTTCTTAGCAAGTGCAGCTGCAATGTCGTCATCATCATCAGAATCACTGTCTGATAATTCTTCTTTCTTTGTTGTTGCTGTTGTTTTCTTAGCAGCTGGTTTAATGTCGTCATCATCAGAATCACTATCTGAAAGTGAAATTTTCTTTGTTGTTTTCTTAGCAGCTGGTTTAATGTCATCATCATCAGAATCACTATCTGAAATAGCAAATTTCTTTGCTCTCTCTGCACGTTTCTTAGCAAGTGCAGCTGCAATGTCGTCATCATCATCAGAATCACTGTCTGATAGTTCTTCTTTCTTTGTTGTTGTTTTCTTAACATCTGTTTTTACATCATCGTCAGAATCACTATCTGAAATAGCAAATTTCTTTGCTCTCTCTGCACGTTTCTTAGCAAGTGCAGCTGCAATGTCGTCATCATCATCAGAATCACTGTCTGATAGTTCTTCTTTCTTTGTTGTTGTTTTCTTAACATCTGTTTTTACATCATCGTCAGAATCACTATCTGAAATAGCAAATTTCTTTGCTCTCTCTGAACGTTTCTTAGCAAGTGCAGCTGCAATGTCATCATCATCATCAGAATCACTGTCTGAAAGTGAGACTTTCTTTGTTGTTGTTTTCTTAGCAGCTGGTTTAATGTCATCATCATCAGAATCACTATCTGAAATAGCAAATTTCTTTGCTCTCTCTGCACGTTTCTTAGCAAGTGCAGCTGCAATATCCTCTGAATCGCTATCACTTGACATAGTTTTGTATATAATATTTAGTTCGCCTTTTTATTTGATAGTTCTCTCTATTTTCAATGCCAAAACTTAATTTTGTTAAAAGAGAATTGTTTTATAAAAATGTTGTTTTTCTTTCCTTGTTTGTTATTCAATTTTATGTAAAACAACAATAAATTGGCTGAGTTATTTTCCTTTCTCATGATTTTCTTTCTTAAAAAGAAGTTTCAAGTAAATATTTCATTCATTTTTGTTTTTTCTCTTTTTAACTTATTTCAAAAAAAAATACCTGAAAAAAGCCACAACAATAAATAAATAATAAATTAATGATTAATGATTTTAACCTACTGTTCAGGTGAGAATTTCTTCCATCACCCACTATCTCCAGAGTCTATTTCTTCTTATTCTTCTACATCTCTACACTCTCATAAATTATCACCACAGTATTTCATAATGTTTTCATATTTGATATTACAATATCTTTTACCATTATTTCCAATGGGGTTTTATTTCCTTCATTTCTTAATATTCTAACTGTTTCTTTATTTATCATTCTTTCTACTGTTATTACGAATGGAATGACTATTAATCTTATTATTCTTTCTATTTTTTCTTATATGTTCGTGTAATTTCTTATACATATTTTATCTGTAATTGTTTTACTTATGTTTTTATCTCTTACTATTTTCATATCTATGACTAACCCCTCCTTTTTCTTTAAATCCTTCTTATTTATTTTTTCTTGATTCCAAACCACAAATATTTTATCTTTCTCTATTTTTCTTTTCTTATTATTAATTTCTTTGTATTTTCTTCTTCTCATCTTTTCTTTATTTCTTCATATCTGTATATTTTATATTTAATTTTTAAATCTTTCCATATACATTCTCATATTTTACCATGTTTATTCATTTGTGATTTTTTAGTGATTATACAAATGAAAATGATAATATTTATTGTTGGTATTTTATTAAAGATATTACTCATTGCATATTGTGGTTCATTTGTCTAAATTATTTCATTATTTCATTATTTGTTGTTTTTTTCGTTATTTGAATATACACATTCTTTATATTTTATTAATTGTTTTCCATACCTTAATTGCTTTCTTTTTGTCTGTCATTTTATCTTCAATTCATTTTAAATTTTCACTCCTTACTTTCTTATTTCTCCATTTATTGATATATTCTTCTTGAAACTTGTATTTTATGTTTTTTATTTTTCTTCCTCTTCATTTATTTTTAATTCTTCTTTGTTTATTCTTTTTCCACATATTTTATACAATACATTCAATATTCAATTCTTTTTCATTTATCTTTATTATATCTCATCTTTTATCTCCTCTTTTCAACTTGAAATAGATATTTTTTCTTATTATTTCAATACCACATTCATCTCTTATACTTTTTAATCCATTTCCATTTTATTTTGATTAAAATATAATCTACTCATATACATTCCTGTACATTTTATATTTCATTCTTTTTTTCATTTTCTTATCATTTTATCCATTTCATTTATTTTCATAATTGGTTATTTAACAATAGAATCACTATACGTGAATTTTTTGTTATTTCTGTATTTATTCTATTAATATAATTCATATTATTATCATTTCTTTTATTTCTTCTATTCATTCTTTTATATTATTATTTATTTATTCTCTATACATCATGTATCATCATTTCTTGTAATTTGATCATTTCATAATTATTTATATGTATATTTTTATATACTAATTGTATAATATTCATGTTATCTGCATTACTTATATTTCCTCTTTTTACTATTCCACATTTATTTATGTTTATTTCAATTCTATTGATTCATTTGTGTCAATTATTTTCTGATGTGTTATTTCCTTTTTGTTTGATTAGTTACTTTGATGTTATCCATATAATTCATGTGTTACTTTTAGTCATTTTCATTTTAAACAATTACATCAGAAATGATATTTATTTTGAATATGAATAAGAGAGAATATAGTCACATTTTAAAATTGTTTATTTTAACTTCTCATATTTCTTTTTTATATTTATATCATATTTTATTCTCTATCTTTCACTCTTACTTTTTATTATTTGTGTTATTTGAAATTGTATTTTGAAATATTTTAATGTAATTTCTATTCATGTATGATTTACATTATCAGATGCTTTTTATTATCATAAAATGTTTATAAATTTCTTTTATGTCATGTTTCTCTTTATTTTCTTTATATTAAACTCTTTATACTTCATTCATTAGCTGCTAAACTCAATTTCTTGTTTCAATATTGACTTTTATTATTTTTAAATTTATTTTTATTCTTTATTAGTTATTCTTCTATCTTCATTTTTATAATTGTTGTGAATATATTCATAATTATATTCAAACAAATGATTAGTCTATAATTCTCTGGATTTTTATTATCTCTACATTTATATATTAAAATTATTCTTCCTTTTAACATTTCTAATGTGGTTGTTTTTAGTATTTGTATCCATTCATTAAATATATTCTTTATTTTGTCTCTATTACTTTCTAATTTTTCAGATAATATCCTTGTAATGTTTTATACATGATGCATTCTATGATGGTATTATAGTTATTCCTTTTTCTATATCTTATATTGTTATTGTTACTCCTTTCAATTTTATTGTTTTACTTTCTTATATTATTTCTTTATTTCTCTCATTTCTAAATTTATTTTTATATCTTTATTATATATTTGACTCAAAAATAAAATTGTTTCTTTTTTTTATTTAATTCAATTTCTTTCTTATTTCTTTTATTTCTTCATTCCATTCTATTCTTATTATTTTCTTCTTGTAAGATTCTTATTCTTAATATCTTTCTTATTTTATAATTTCCTCTTATTATTGATGTTGTATTTTATTTATTTTACATTAGTTTATTTCTTTATATTCTTTTTATATTATATAAATTTATATTCTATTTATTTTCAATTAATTATAATATTTTATAATTGTTTTTTTTTGTATTTCTTTGATATTTCTTTCAATTCCCATTTCTTATTATTGTATTTTATTATTTCATCAAAGATATTACTATGAAAATAATACACAATATAACTCCTTTCTTTTTTATCTTTTCCTTTTTCTTATTAAATATTCAATATATTCTGTATCAATCTTATTGTTCATTTTGTTTTTAGTGTTTTCTTGTGCTCTTTCATTTTCTATATTTTCTGTATTATTTATCATATCTTCTACTATTTTATTAACACTTAATTAAAGGCACAAAAATAAGCAAAGAAAAAATGCATCTAAATAATTTACAAAAAAGAAAAAGATGCAAAATAATTTGCATCCATAGAATTTTCCATTTATTATATTTTGCTCCTAAAAAAAATAAAAATAAATATATAAGTATGATAAATACAAAATCTGTAAATATTTATGTTTATATTTTATTATCATTTGTATTCATTTTGTATGAAATATTAATGAAATAGATGATTTGATGAATCATATTCAATTGTTTGTATTTTTTATTCTTTTATTATTATGTTATTTATCTATCGTATTTTTATATATTTATTTCTCTGTTTATATTATTTATAATATGTATATTATTCTTATTATTTTATTATTTTTCTATTTATATTATTTAGATTTTCTTATTGTTATTCTTTTGTTTTTTTTTTGTTTTTTTATGTGTTTATTCATCTTATTCATCTTTTATATTATTATCATTTATATTTACTCTTGATTTATATTTATTCTGTTTTTATTTATATTAATTTTATATTTTACATATTGATTTTATTATTATATCATTTATTATCATTTCTCGTTTTATTTATCATTTATTCTTATTATTCTTTTTTCTTTATTCTATATCATATATTCATATCATTTTCATTTATATTTTATCACTTATTATATGTTATAATAATCACATAACACATATGATTGAATATATAATAAACATCATAATGAAATTATACACATAAATAATAAACATAAAAATAATAAAATATTTTTATCAATAAAACAATATTAATCATTTTACATCATTAAATTATACACTTATTAATGAATATTTCTAATTTTTACATTAAAAATACACTTTTTATTTCCTCTTTTTCCATCTTTTATTATCTATTCTATTTTATTACTCTTTATATTCTTTTTATCTTCTTCTACTTTCTTCTTTTATTCTTTCTTCATCATCTTCTACTTCTTTTTATTCTTATTCTTTTATATCTTTCTTTCTCTTCTTTTTCCATTATTTGTTTTTTCGCTGCCTAATTATACCGATGTAAAATTATGTTATGATTTTAGTAATAACGTTATTGTTAAACCAGACAATGCAAATAGATATGGATTTGTTGTAGACTCAACAGAAAAGTCAATTCCTTTTATTCTTGCACAACAAACAAAACAACAAATAAAACAAATGACACTTCGTCTTCCAAAGTGGGAAAATATGATTTTGTTATTAAAGAAAGGTGTATTTCATCCCAAATTTGTTAATAGAATGTACAAAGGAATGCCTGATGAAGTACGTAGTGAAGTATGGAAATTATTATTACTTAAAGATGTAGATTATGAAACATTAAAAGATGAATTTAATAGATTAAATCAACCATACACAAAAACACCTATTGACAAACAATTGGATTTAGATGTAAAACGAACATTTCAATCACATTATACTTATAAAGTACCATATGGAGGTAATCAGAAAGTGTTATTTAATATTTTTCATGCACTAGCTTCAAGAACAGAAAATTTAGAATTTACTCAAGGAATGACTTGTGCACCATCTATTTTAACATTATTTCTTGATGAATATAGTTCATATGCAGGAACTGTTCAATTTTTAGGGGAAAAATATCGTTTAAAAGAAATGTTTAGTAATTTTAATTTACTAACACGATGTTGGACATCACTCGATTATTATTACAAAAAGAAATTCTAAACTCGCACAAAACCTTAATGCCAATGACTATTTTAATAGACATTTATTCATTGACTTCTATTCTAATTAATAATTATTGTATTTGATTCTATTGAATATATTTCTTTGGTAACATTTTTATAATTTGGAGTTTTTATAGTCAAATTATAAACAGCTAATAGAAATAAGACTAATTTGTCTCACATTGATTAAACATAATAACAATTTCTTTAATAAATAAGAAAAGAGAGAATTAAAATAAAACACATACTTTTAAAAAGAATTAACAAACAACACAATAATGTAAGTCAATAAAAGTATTCAATTATTTAGATAACATCACAATATTGAGCAATAACTTGACTCACCATATCTTCAAGAGTATCAATGTCAGGAAGACTTGACGTCATTCCATAAACTGGTGCCCATACATTGTATTTAGGATTTTTTGGGTCTTTTCTAATGATATCTAGTGCTTTATTTAAATCTTCCATGAATTGTTTTTCACATCCAATAGTTTTTTCTGTTACACAAAAATGAACAGCCGCAGGGAATTGTAATGTATTAAATTCCCATTGAAATTCTTTATTCATACAATCACTAACTTTATAAATATTTAGATCTGTTGTAGTAAATGCAACTACTGGTGTATCTTGTTCCATATCATTTAATATTTTAATATTACTCATTTTACTTAATTCATTCTTTAAATTTTTTGAAGTTGTAAGAATACCTCGTGTAGCATCAATATATCCTTGTTTTCCTGTAAATAATAATGATGCCCATGCACCCGCAATATTATTTCCTGCTCTACTACCTGGAATTGATGGTGAACAATATAATCCACCTGTCCATTTAGGATATTTGAAGAAAACTAAATTACGCAATTCTTCATTTCGGAATACTAAGACAGATGATCCTTTTGGTGCATATCCATATTTATGTGTATCACATGAAATACTCATTACTCCTTCATTTCTAAAATCAAATATTGGAACATTAAATCCTGCTGCTTCTCCCCATGCTTCACAAAATCCTCCTAAACATGCGTCTACATGAACTGGTACATTTACAGATTTACAATATGTTGCTACACGTTCAATATCATCAATTACTCCATGTGGATATGATGGTGCACTACATACAACAAGTATTGTATTTTTATTAATTTTTTTTTGAACTTCTTCAAAGTCTAAAGCATTTCTTTTATCAGCAGAAATAATAATTGGTTTAATATGCATTAATTCACACCCTTTTAGCCATGCAGGATGTGCATTAATACTCATAATAATTTCACATTCTTCAGCAGCAATACCTTTGTTTTTAATAGCATTTTGATAATGTGCTCGTTCAGAAAGAATAATACTTTCAGTTCCTCCAGTGGTTAACATTCCTCTTGAATTTTCATCACCATGAAGCATATTTGATGTCATTCTAATAACTTCTGCTTCCATTTTTCTTACTGAAGGACAATTGTCAGCATGAAGTGGATTTGAAAGAATAAATAATTTTGTTGCTTCTCCAATAACTTCATTTCGTTCTGGATTACCTGCATAAAATGATCCTGAAATGTGTTTTGTTTTAATTTTCTCTGCATCATATTCAAAATACTTCTTCAAAAGTTCCATCATTTTTTCCTTTGAATATCCAACTTCTGGGATTTCTGTGTAGTTTTCAAATTCTTTAATACGTAATGATTCTCCTATACTAGTTGTTGATTTCTTAATTTCTTTTTGAATGACATTGTGAATACCAGTTGCTCTGGTAATTCCTTTAAATAATTGTGAATAGATATTATATAACGTTTCTTTACATGGTAAAAAATAAGAAATAATCCATCCAATAATTCCACCAATGATTATCTCTCCAATCATTACTTCTACTTTTTAAGTTCATTAGGTTTTATTTTGTGTTATATAAGAAAGGACAATGTCCTGTTATTCTCTATGGGATTTCCCGAAGTGAAAAGATGAAAAAAGGGAATGTTAATGGTTGAAATGATATTTACATTACAAATAAAAAACCTGTAGAAAAACACTTTTCTATAATTCTTATTTATAAATAGAAGTGTTATTCTTCTATTCTTTCTCTTATTTTGAAAAAAAACTCTTTTTACTTACTTTATCTTTTCTTTAATATGCCATTTGGAATGAACTTATCTCAACAAAACATTTTCTTGTCATTTTTATGTGACATGTAAAAAATAATAAATTAGGGTAAAAGGTAGAGTTTTTTTTAAGTCTTTTAATTATCTCATCAACAAAAACAAATGACAAAATTTTTCTTTTTATTGGTTTATTTTTTTCTTTCATGGAAAATCAATACTTGAATTTCATTAAAATGCTTAAACAAAAGTAAAGTACTTTGTATTTATTAATACGAATGAAAGTGCCTATCAATTACAATAATAAAGAGTTTTATTGATTATGAGATGAAACGATTATTTTCTTTTCATGATAATTTGTGAATCATAATTAAATACTTAAGAAAATGAAAGAGAAGAAAGAAGTAGTATTAAAACAAAGTATGAATTGTGTGTATTCTCGTGGTTTGTTTATATATTATTATATTACAAATGTTTATTGATAAAAAAGAAGTAACATATAGATTTTGTAAAATCGTTTGAAGATAATGTTCATCAGAAAAGATTTGAAGAAATGGAAGTAGCATTGAGAACATATCAGAAGATACTCAAAATGTATCAAGATAACACTATTCAAGCACGAAAATTGTTATTAAAATCACCAGCAACAACAGAGTCTCAAATGGTTTTGTCTCAACTTAGTTCTATTGAAAGTATTGTTAGAAAGTTCAAATCAAGACCTATTCAAATTGATGTCAACAATAACGTGAGCAAAAATAAAACAAGAATAGAACAAACAGAAAGGAAAAGAAAGATCATCAAGCCAACACCACAAGAACTTGAGAAAATAGCAAAGTCATTTTCATTACCATCTATTAAATTAACAACTAATATTAATCCTAATAAGAAAGCAGAACAAAAGATTATTGTTTCAGAGTTTCAAGGACAATTTTATCAAATGACTAAATATGCCTCAGGATGTTCATTATTACAAAAACTATTGGATGGTGCAAGTGAAGAGAGTGTTCTTCTTATTTTTGAAGAACTTGAAGATTATTTAGAAGAACTTATAACTCATCCAAATGGACAGTATGTTTTACCAAAGATTGTAGAATTTGGAAGTGAAGAAATAAAAGATAATGTGTTTGGTGTTGTTGCTGATAATTTAGTAAAGTATTGTTGCCATCAGTTTGGAGGATATACAGTTCAAAAAATTGCACCATTTATGAGAGAAAG